CGTCCTCTTGGGACTGCCGCTTCCGCTTCCCGACCCGCTGACCAATGACCTCATCCCCAGCCCGAGGCACCAACTCGACGACCCTGCCTCCGCCATGCTCCATCCCGGCCTGCTGCCTCAAAAACGCCAAATGCTCATCGTCCTCATGCCAAGCATCGCCCTCCAGACCCTCGTCGTCACTCCCACCTCTGGCCGTCCGGCCGCCCGCCTGCAGATCCGTCAACGGCGGCTGGCCAGCCCAGCGATGCCGCCGCTGGCGGCGCTCTCCATGGGCCTCGCTGCGCTTGCCCTCTTGCAACTTGGCCGATGGCGCCTTTGGCCCGCCCCGTGATGTGCAATATGCCGTCAGGGAGTCCATCATGCCCGGAAGAAAGAACTCGGCGCGCAGGCATTCGTCCGTGAGCGGCGGGCGGTATTCTTCTTCCGAGTCGGAGCCGGAGGATGCGGAAGAGTCGGAAGACGGGTGGTCATAGGCCATGGAGGAGGTGGGTTTGGGTTTGGCTTGGCGAGACGAAGACTTTGGTTGGACAAGGGAGGTGCCGGGCTGCCGGCGGTTGGTCCTTGCCCCCGTCACTGGGAACGGCGTTGGGATCGGGGACGGTTGCGGCATGAGTATCAATGCACGGGGTCCCGGATTGGTTTTCATGGAGCTCAGTTGTGCATGGGCATTTTCACTGATGCACATGTATACATGCAAGAAGAGACTTGATTCAGAGAGATCCAGTCCTACTTAGCTCCACCCATTGCCATATAACGCAACAACGTCCAGTATGCATCTGATAGTCACACCCTGAGCCTTTCCTGTACTCATACTGTAAACGGACGACTTGGACCGCAGATGCTGCTTCCCACCTCCCAGGCCAGCAGGCAAACGTTTTAGGGTATTCAACACGGTAGAGTCCGTCGTTGCCACCGTCTTTTCAGTGACGAAAGAATACCAACGACCACGGAAAACAAGCACTTGATGTACATCCAATTGCTACATATGCCTACTTCCTGCCGGCCAACTGTGCCAACCTGTCCGGCCCAAGCACCCCGCGACACCCGTCGTCCTCCACTGCCCTGACAACCGCCGCGCCAATTTGCTCAGGCGTCAATACCTTGGGTACCAATCCAGCAACAGCCATGACCCGACCGCCGACCGCCAACGGCCACGTCAACGGCCGCTTGATCGATGACACAATGCCCGGCCTGACGACCACGCCCCTGCCCGCGTTCTGCTCCACGTCACGTTTAATGAGGTAGTCTTCGGCAAGCGCCTTTGTCCGGAGATACTCGGGGTTCACGGCAAGCTTCATGAGCGGCGACACCTCGGCCGACACGTATGCAAATGTGGCACCCGGTTTTGCGGCCTGGGCAAGCACCTTGATCATGTCAAACTGCACCGACGCGAAATCGAGCTTCTTGGCGGCGGGCCGGCGAAACAGCGCAGGTCCCACATTGCTGAGGGCCTCGCGGATTGTGGGCGCATTGACGAGCGCATTGAGTTCGGGCGTCGTAAAGAGCAAGCCAACCGAATGGACAATGGCGTCGGCCGTCGACGCATAAGCGTGCGCAGTGTCCGGATCGAGGGCAGACCCGGACGCCCAGGTGACGTTGCGCGACCATTGGTCGTAGTCAGGCGTCAAGTAGGTTGGGATGGGCTGGCCTTTGCGCGACAGGGACGTGACCGACCACCCGCGTAAGGCAGCGGAGCGAACGATTTGGGTGCCAATGAGGCCCGTGCCGCCGACAACGAGGAGGTGTTTCATGGTGTGATTGCTTTGTTATTTATCCTTTGAGTATGAAGAGAGTCGCATTCCATCGCATGGCGGACATGTATGTGGTAGACGAGGAATCGCGCATGACAAGGACCGTGGGTGGTGGCCGTGGCTCCTTTTGGAATGTACATCATAGCATGTGCGGTGTCTGTGTCTCACAGGCAGCCCGATCATAACACTCCACGATCCACGTCAATGTGGAAACTTTCCTGAGGTGACTCAAGGGAGTAGAAGTGAGTCAAATCACTACGAATCACTATTGACGATGGGCTTCATCGACTATGATTGCAAGACATGGGTAGACTGGGCAGGATACATACATAAAGCAGCAAGAAGGAGATGAGAACAAAAAAAATTTGCTTCCGAAGAAGCTCCACTCTAGACATTTGTGTCATCCTTATGCAGGGACCATGCTAATCTTCTCTGTATCGATCCAATTTTGTAGTGCACTCTCCGAAGAGAGGCAATGTAGAAGGGTGAAGAGCGGTATTTAAACCGTTGGCTTTTGCTCCCATTGAACGGTTGCAGTCACCAAGAATTCTTCACAAAGAGAATCATCACGTGTGGCTGGTAGCCTGGAAACGAGCCAATCAGCTGGTGGCATTCCGCCGATCTCATTAGCCCACACACCGGCTCATCGATCCAGCTCATGTCGATCCCGTCCGCGTTCGGTCCATCAATCCACAATGTGTTTAGTATGTCGAGGCGAGGCACACATGCCGACTCTTCATCATTCCGTTGCTGCTTGTTGAAAATCCATGAGCGGAAGTCGGTGATGACAGAAAATGTCCACACTCACCTACGGAATCGCCCTGTCTCACTTGTCTCACATGATTCAACCGGATCACGTCGTTCTATGGCTGGCGGGTCCTTTAACTTACAAGTACAGGATACGGAATCAGGAGCCCATGACAATACCACCCTCATTCATGTCTGTCCTCCCCTGGCATCAAGCGGTCATAGTTCCAACATTTCGCGTACACCTTGTCGCATTCAGCAACTTTTCTATTGTCCATCAATCCACCATGCCAGCGTCGTCGTAGCCAGGGATCGTGTGTGTGTCTTTACATGTTGAGACACTGTACTCAACGATCCAATCACGCAGCAGGAGCGCTCAGTCGTTGTCGCTGTACCACAACAGATTGACCTGAACACTTACTCCAAGTGGCCAGTTGCGAGAATAGTGTGTGACTTTGTCTGTCGGTCATACGCGTTATACCAGTCATGGGGACGGATGTCGTCCTTAGCCTCGAGGGTTAGATGGCGGAGTGCGATCCAGCAACGCACATGGCCAAATGGTACCTATCGGAATGCACATGATGATGGGTTTGCTCGAACAGAGCATCGGCTGTGCGCTGTCTCGCTGAGGCCTGGATGTGGGAACTGATTCGGTCTCTGCTCGTGCGGTCCCGCCTCACTGTGTTCGCGGCCATTTATTTACAAGGTCATTCCGGTGCAGCCACTTTGATTCGAGTAAGGAAGAAGCAAAAACAGTCTGAAGATCGATACGAATTACATAATAGCGCATCCTATTTATACCGTACACTATCACGGAATACCTATGCAAATCTCACAACCTTACGACATGTCCTCCATCGACAAGCAATCCTCACCCAGAATCAACGTGGCCTCCTTGTTGGCCACAAACTGCTTGCAATGGCCAACGGTAGTACGCACAAGCGTATCCATGTTGTCGGTCTGGTCCAAGAACACCACATCACACTTGGCAGCCTCGACCTTATCCAAAAGCCCATGGCGCCCGTGATTTCGGCAACATCGTAGCCAGGAATGTTGTACGAGCCGAGTTCGACCAGGCCCTTGAGGTTGTACGGCGGGTGGGTGACGCCAAGGTACGAGCTGTAATCGATAACTTCGGTCACGGCAGGGAGGTTCTGTGGCCGCGTAGCGAACGATAACGAGTGGATGGTGAGCGAGCGGAACATACAGCGTGAGATCCAAGCGACTCTATAACAAAGCTATACCTTGGTCATGCAGCGGAAGTTGCCTGACTGGCCAACGGTCATGACGGCACCATAATGGTTGGAAGTACGTGCAAAGTCCCAGCAGACTTGCGCGTCAGCGGTGCTGTTGCCAGAAAGGGGGAACTCCTTGGCCACACCGTCGAATTCGGCGGGCTTCAAGTCCTTGCCGGGAATCGCGTGGAACTTTTTGCACTTGGCGGGCGTAAAGTAGGGCAACATCCAGTCTTGGGGATGGGGGACAGGCGCGGGAGCGGGAACCGCGACGGCCGACGTGGCGACAAGAGCGAGGATGGCAACAAGGTGGGGAAGCATGGTGGATGTGAATGGGAATGGAGAAGGCGAGCGGAGAGCACAGTGATAAGATCTGATGAGGTTCGATTTACTGGAAATGGACATGGGAACGCTCGCCCTTTATAGCTGTCAAAGCAGCCAGCTTGTCGCGCTTCTCAGGATGGGTGATGTGGCGGGGCCTCACCCACCACCTGTCTCTCTCTCTCCCAACGTACGTACATACGGCTTAGCTTCGGTGTCGTCACTATGCACCGCTCTATGAACCGCAAGTGGCACGCTGTCGCATCATTTGCGCCGCCGCCAATTGAACAGGTGGTGGAGGAGTAAATGACAACCTTCCGTTTTCAGAAAACCTTTGCAACCGGATATTGAGACAACTATATACATTCACCGTTTCCGCAAACTGAGTGATACAGGCCGACTGGCCAAGTACCTAAACATGCATGTAGATCGAAAGCACACATTTGCCTCAGTGGCTCAAACTCGAGGTCCACCGCGTGATCCACCATGGAGACGTCTGCAAACTGCGTCACGCCCAAGATGTGAGACAACGACAACGAGTACCTTTCGTACGCGTGCGGCCAAGCGAAAGAGTACCTCACACTTGTGAATGGCTGAGATACGCCTTTTGAATAAGTTTACACAACGCAGCGGCAACTGTGTTGTCACCAGCCGACAACTTACACACCAACAACTCCATGCTCCTGCCATCGCAGTACAGATTCTGTCATCATCTTTTGAGGCTGCCATGCGCATCAGATCGCTCGATGCTCCTGGCTACAGATGACGGGGAGAAAACATTCACATGTCAGATCCCATTGCGAACAGAGACTGCAAGCTGCAAGTCTCAAACTCGAGCCAGCGGTGCTGTCGAAAATCAAGCAATACCAAAACGATGAGCAAATATGCACAACGACCAGACCGTCAATCGGTTTGCAAAACTCGAATCTGTCTCAAACAAAACACTTGAACAGGGCAGGGTTCGAACCTGCGCCTCCGAAGAGATCAGGGCCTAAACCTGACGCGTTAACCACTCCGCCACCTGTCCAGTACGGCTGCAAGGCTGGAAAATCGGTGTTTGTTGACATCTTCACAAAAAAACATGACGAACCCAGCAATGAACCAGACCCGGCACAAACGTGTTTGCATTTCATATTTTATGTGCAATGTGCGCAAGATTTGAACACAGAACGTGGAACAGAACTGCAACCAACCAGACATGGATCATGCTATACCCATGCCGAAATTGTACGCGCAGACTGTCTCATGGAAGCGACTCTCGAGCGCCTCCCCACCACTTCAAAGTATCCACCCTCCCAGGCGCTACCCTCGCAAACCGGTCCAGGACTTGAATGCTCGTGCTCTTCTTTTCCTTGTCACCAAACTGCCAGCCGTACATTTCAGCGGTGGTCGCTGGGAAAGAATATTTTTCCTGTGGTTGGTGGCGACGAATCAAATGCCGGACATTGTACGCAGCAATGTCGCCCAGAGCGGCCTCAGATGTGGTCGGGCGTTGACGAATGGGAAACACAGAGACTTGAGATACAGTGCTTGATGGCCCAGTTGAGGACGCATTGTGCGAGATGGGCGGGAGCGAGTCTTTTGAAGATAAGTTGCTCTTATAAGAACGAGGGAGCTGTGAACGGTTCAATAATCGGACTGGGATCAGATTGCTTGCCAAGAATGTTTCCATGAAGTGAATCGTAAGCAAACGAACCCTGTTCTTCATGAAGGCCCAATTTTTTTCCCAGTTGGATGCGCATGTATACTCGTACTGTATCATTTGCCGCCTGAGAAGCACAGACTTCAAGTAAATCAGCGACTCAGCAGCTCCTTTGTATGCAACCTTGGCTGCAACCCACCAAATCAGGTCGTTGTGGACTTGGTTGTGCTCCTTGGCACCGCGTTTAGCAGTTGCTTCGGTCATGTTGTGGACTACCGAGTGCGGATGGGAGAGGTAGAGTCGATACCAGCAGCGGGCGGTAGGGCAGAGCAATTGCTTTGAGTTGGTGTTTTCTAGTTATTCATTGACCTGATTCCTGGAGCCTAAAGATAAGGATCCGGATCAGACACAGTTGGTGGTTGTTTGCATGGGCATGCCGTTGTCCGCACGTCACGTCGAGAGAAAACGCACTGAAGGTTCAGATTAAGTATTGAGCAGACACGATCCTGTCCAGAGAATAAGTATTTACATGATGCCAACTTCGACTGGTCGGCAGGCCCATTCATTAAGCCAGTGCAAAGTGTCATGACAATGTTCCATGTTCAATTTTACTCCGCAGATCCGCAGAGGTCTGTTGCTTGCTGCAAATAAATCGTCGCCGAGTTGGTCAACTACTCGTCGTGCTGTCTCATGCAAGAGCGGAACTGTAGGTGAAAAGCTCCGTGTATCCGACCACACAATAACTTGAAATTGGTTGCTTTTTTTTCGATCCGATCCAATGGCGCTGTCAGTTCTGATTTGTCATGATCGATCCTTTCCTTATAACCATGAGACTGAGACCGTTGAAAGACTGATCGAGTCAAAACCGCCCGGCTGCCGGCTTTGGCCAACCGACATGCCCGCCGCCATTTCTTTCCCTGACACAACGAACTAGGCTCATGCATAAATGCTGCGCCATCAGGAATCATTGTCCCGGGCGACCCGTCGACCTCTGGTCCCGAGGTCCGCCGTCCTGACGCGATCAGTGCCACCCGCCACAACAGGTGCCGTCGCCTATGACTCGATTTCAAGCCAGGAAACGCCCATTCCTACGATCCGTAATGAAGTTTTCAAGTCTTTGCCACATCAGCCAGCACCATCATCGTCCGCATCACAAGCCTCTTCAAGTTTTGTGCTTGCGTCGATGCCGATTCCGGCTGCCCAACGACACGATGTGCAAGTCCACAGTTACGCTCGTTCGATCCGAGTCTCCAGTTGCCTGTTGCTGTGGCCGCAGCCGCCGACCCAGACCCCGTCTTGAGAACTCGTCACAACAGGCCAGCCGCTGCCATCGCCACGCCACTGGCATTCGACGCAATCGAATCCTCGCCAACTCTCCGCTCTGGGCCATCCTCGGCGTCTACCCATGGCACGGACACACCGCCGTCGGTTCTCGCCAACGCGCAACTCGACGACGGATCTCGGATATCCGTTGCGTTTCGCGACCTTGTTTACACGGTTCCCGTGCGGGCCGTCGCCAATCGCCACGGCAACGGCAACGCGAATGGCGGTACCGATGGCACGGGACGAGGCTTGTCGAATGATCCGGAACCGCCTGCGTCACAAAACCAGGCAGCGTCAAAGTGGTGGCATTTCGGCAAGAAGAAGCACGGAGGGAATATGACATGTGAAAAGGTTGTGCTGCACCGAATTTCTGGCGAGTTTCGACCGGGGCAGTTGGTTGGTGTACGTGACGCATAGGACCGCTCTGATCCCGTTCCGTTTGGGTCTGACAAACCAGTTTCTATCACGACAGATTCTCGGTCCAAGTGGATCGGGTAAGACTTCCTTGCTCAACATCTTGGTGCGTGGAATCGGTTCCCGAACTTCGACTGCTTAACGCATGTTATCTCACATCCATACACGTTATGTATGATGAGCAGGCCGGCCTTCCCAGTGCCGGGAAAGTGTCGGGCGACGTCATGCTCAACAATCAACCCTTGTCCCCTGCCGCAATTCGCTCCGTGGTCGGCTTTGTATTTCAAGATGACTTGATTCTCGAGACCATGACCGTGACCGAAGGTATACACTGGATTTTCAACTCCATTTCGGACCATTTCGTATAGCTAGTCGCTTATCTTTTCTGTTGAAATCTCCAGCGCTCGCCATGTCACTTCGCCTCCGCAATCCGCCCATGTCTCAAGACGAGGAGCGGAACCGCATTGAGCTCGCCATCGACTTGCTTGGACTTCATGACGCTCGAGACACGTTGATTGGATCCGCGATGCAAAAGGGAATCAGTGGTGGGGAACGAAAACGTGTTGCGATTGGAATGGAACTGATGGCTAGGCCAGCCGTCGTGTTGCTCGATGGTACGTATGCCAATTTGCTTTCAGTATGCTGTCGGCGCAATCTGACGCAAAGTCACGCTGAACTCGTTGGCAGAATGTACAACTGGATTGGACTCGTACACGGCATTCTCCGTGTGCTCGCTCTTGCACAAGTTGGCGCATCGCCAAGGCAAGACCATTGTGTGCACTTTGCATCAGCCGGCGTCGAACATTGTTCAAGTATTGGACGTGATAATGATTCTCGTCAAAGGGAAGGTACGAATTTGTTCCAGTCCAAACAGACCGATGTGGCCGGCCACATACATGTCTCACTTGCCCTGTCGCGTTCACGGTGCATACTATACCAGTTGCTCTACCATGGACCGACAGCAGACATGGTCGCATTCTTCTCGCGCCTCAACTTTCAATGCCCGCAATACACCAACCCGCCCGATTACGTCTTCATGTCCGTGATTAACCAGCGAGGGGGTGCGATCACTTGCTGCGCCAACAGTTCCTTCCACCATCTCCTGCAAGCGAAACCAGCGACCCGTCCATTCAACTCAACTCACTTGTCAAGTATTATCCTTCGTTTTCCCAACAAATCCGGTACTTGTCTTGGCGCGCCTGGCACAATGCCATCCGCAACCGTCTCATGCTTCGCGCGCACCTGGGCCAGGTCGTCATTCTAGGTGTGCTCATTGGCCTAATTTACCTCAACGTTGAAGGCTCGGCCTCTGGCCCAGCCCTGAGCCAATCCATCTCGGGCGTCCTATTCTTTGTTGCGACCAACATGCTGTTTGGCGCGCCATGCCAGTGCTTTCCATTTTCGCGACCGAGAGGCCCGTGTTCCTTCGTGAGTACTTGCAAGGCTACTATGGCGTGCTGGCGTACTATTCGTCACGGACATTGGTCGAGTTTCCATTCCAAGTGCTATTCCCGCTCGTGTTTGCGTGCATTTCGTATTGGCTCGTGCTCTTTTCGGCATCGGTGCCAGAGTTTCTCGTGTATTGTATGTTTCTGACGCTGTTGGGATTGGTGGGTCGGCCTTTGGCATTTGCATGGCGAGCTTGTTTGAGGATTTGGGTGTGTCTTTGGCGGTGGTGCCGTACTTTGCTGCCGCTCATGCTGTTTGGTGGGTTGCTCGTGAATAGCGATACGGCGCCAAAGTGGCTGAGCTGGCTCGAATGGTTCGTTACGAGATTCCCCTGAAGAAACCCGGTTGCACTTTGTGCTGACTACCCGTACCTTTGGGTGGACAGGGTATCTCCGGTTCAGTACGCATTCACTGGCCTCATGGAAAACTATTGGCGCAATCGGATCGTGAAAGGTATTGTGGGCAACGAGCATCTCGACCAAATTGGGTACGTACCTCATTTCGTCACGCATGTGCCTGTCCATTCGTAATCACAGGTTATGCTCGTCCATTGTCCAAGTGTGTCTGCTCGGTTTGGTATCTTTCTCAACGCCGTCTTCCTCATTGTCCTCTGGGCCGCATTCACCCTCCTCGGCTACTTTGGGCTTCGTCGGATTGCGTACAAGGCTGCTGGTCGCAACGTCGTCGCCCCAAACTTTTTCAGTGTGGCCATCGGAGTCGAGTCAACGCGGCTCGTAGTGTTCAAGGGGCGAAGTCGTTGAAGCGGAGCATGAGCATCAACTGGAGCATTTGGTTCGGGAGCATCAATTCTCGGGCGAGGCCCATGTTTCTCCTCAAGAGGCCAGTTTGGTGCATCAAGGAGCCGATCGAACTGCTGGACATGATGGGAATGCTGGTCGTGCTGGACTGATGGGAGGGCGGTGCCTCTGGGCCATGGAGCAGGGCCGTGATGTGATATCCCGTTGAGAAACCTTTGACAAGTGCCGTGTGTCGAAGCAATGTATCTACCGAGGTCCTTGTTGTTGCGCGCATTCGCCTCAAGCCCTCAAGACCACGTCAGCGAGCGAGCCAGGCAGGCAGGCAGCAACAGTGAGGCGCGTGAGGTCCTCCGATCCAGTTGACCTTCGTTTCCACAACACTTTCTCAATCCGGAAAGAGGCCGAGCCAGCTTGTTGTGATGGCTGAAATGTGTGCACCTT